GAGAGGACTATTTCCTATGCTAGTCTGACTTTATTACCTGAACAACGACGTTACTGTACTACTCGCAAGGAGCTTCTAGCAGTTATTGTTTTTACTCGGTATTACCGCTACTATTTGCTAGGAAGACCATTTACAGTACGTACAGACCATAGCAGCCTTCAGTGGTTATTGAACTTCCGTTTTCCTGAAGGTCAATTGGCTCGTTGGATGGAGGAATTAAGCCAGTACAATATGGCCATTCAGCATAGGGAAGGTAAGAAACATGTCAATGCTGACGCACTGTCGAAAATAAGTGCAGAAAATCCATATTCTTTCTACAGGGGAGATTTCAAAATAGAAGACCTGACCGCTAGTAAGATATCAATAATTTATAAAATAACATATGGTTCTGATCTATACAGTAAAATGTTATATGCTTGTCATTTGCAATGCTGATAGAACAGTACACTTATGTTATAAATGTTGTTTGCTAATATATAAAATAACATATGGTTCTGATCTATACAGTAAAATGTTATATGCTTGTCATTTGCAATGCTGATAGAACAGTATACTTATGTTATTATGTTCCCCAAACGAATATGGGGAACAAATTGTTTTTACTCTGTATTTTATTAAGGTCTTCCGACTTCCTTCGGAAGACCATATTGTTTTCCGTCGGTTTCCTATTATTAAGGTCTTCCGACTTCCTTCGGAAGACCTTACTGTTATTTGTCTGTTTTTTATTAAGGTCTTCCGTTTCCAACGGAAGACCATATTGTTTTCGTTCGGTTTCTTTTTCCTTATTATTATTAAGGTCTTCCGAATTCACGGAAGACCTTATAGTGATTCTACTGTTTCTTCTTATTATTATTATTAAGGTCTTCCGTCTTCACGGAAGACCTTACAGTGATTCTATTGTTACTTATTATTATTATTAAGGTCTTCCGTCTTCACGGAAGACCTTATAGTGATTCTACTGTTTCTTATTAAGATCTTCCGACTTCCTTCGGAAGACCTTATTGTTATTCGTCTGTTTTTTTTTTATTATTATTATTATTTTTCTTTTTTCATAGTTAGGGCGATATCTCAGCTGTGCGTGGACGGATCTGAAAGATTTTTACAGGGATGATGCATCATGAAAATATCTCCAGACACGTTTTTCATTTTTTCGAAATTTACTTTCGTTCGCGATTTTTTGGGGATTTTTGTATTTTTTAAAGGGCATTTTGTCCAGCGGTTTGCTCGAGAACGGCTAAAGATATGAAAGTGAAACTCACTGAGGTAATAGAACATCGAACTCCGTTATGGGCAGCGACCTTTATTTTTCGTCGTCGGCACTTCCGGTCGCAAACGGAAGTGAATTCAAAAAGTCCAATTTCTCAACTTTTTTGTTTTTCAATATTTTTTTTAGGATTTACAGGGTTTATAAAGTGTGTTTTGAGAATTCTAAATATGTGTTCAGTATCTTGATGCGTGAATATATTGAAAAGATATGGCCGAACAAAACTTTGTCCCACTGTCGGGGGTTCGAATCCCGCTGGGGGCGTTTTAAAATTTTTATTCTTTGTTTCTGTCTTTTTCAGTTGCAAATGACTTTTGTCTCTTTTTTTCTTAGACATATGGAATATTTTGCCGATTTTTAAAAGCTATTTTTTGAAATATTTTGAGGAATTCGTGTAATTATTATTATGTATTTTGAGAGATTGTTGTGAATGAACGTTTACAAAAATATACATTCTGAAATCTATTTCATGGGATGACGCAGCATAGAACGCTCTAGCAACAAGAACGCATCTAGTTATTATTAAGGTCTTCCGTCTTCACGGAAGACCTTATAGTTATTGCTCTGTTTCTTTTTATTATTATTATTATTATTATTATTCTGACACGATTTCTCGACAACTACTGGATGGAATTTGATGAAATTTTCAGGAAAGATGTGTTGTAGCACACACTCTCGAAAGTTCCAAGACAAGTTTCGCCAAATCTTTTCTGGTGCCAAGTTTTGGACCATTTTCCTGATTTTAAAACGACATTTTGTCTACGATTAAACTCAAAAACGGTAAAAGATATCAATGTGAAACTTTCAGAGTATATAGATGATGATCAATACTTTCCAGGACGCAACTTTTCGTTCGTCGTCAGTACTTCCTGTTGCTACCGGAAGCCAATTAAAAAAGTCCAAATTTTCAACTTTCTTAGTTTTTCAATATTTTTCATTTATTTTTGGAATATTAATGGAGACACTTCTATTGATGCTTACTATATAAGTTGTTTTAATATTAGTTAATCTGAACTCTAGATATTAACTTTCAAAAACCTGAAGCGGGACCAAAATGGCGCCTGTATCTGTCAACTCTGCCATTTCGCGAGTAGGGGCTTATGGAGGCAGCTGAGCGTTTGATTAAACCATTCTGACATAAGGATACATGAAATGTAAAAAATTACTTGGACTTTCACGTAGTAGTACGTTGCAATTCAGTGTCAATCTTAAAACTTAATTTCCGTTTCACTCCTTTAGTGTAACTGGGCTAGATACGATATGTAATGTGTACAATGTGTTCAATATACTTTCTTAACGTCGAAATAGAATAAAGGCGATAAGAACGTTTTATGTATTTAATTTCATTGAAACTATCACACCTATTTAATAGATCAGTTTAAAGAAAATGCGCGAATATATATTTAATCGTGGCGTTTGGCGCGAAATTATGAATAGTGGCCCGCCTTTTATGATTCTTAGACAGGTGTGTTGTTGCAAAAGTATACACAAGTGTATTTGAAGCAGTATTCCCAATAGCGTAACGGTTTGCGCGTTGGTGAAAAAAAAAGAAAAAAACTGCATTCGTGTTGGCGACCTGGGTTCAATCCTCCTTAATTGTGACAGAAATTTTGATTCACTTTTCAGCTCAATTTTACGTGGGTTTTTTTCCTGAATCGGACGGAAGACCTCTCGTTGCTCGCAACGAGATCGTATCTAGTTATTATTATTTTTCTTATTTTTTTGACTTTCTAATTTTGTGCACGCGATTTCTCCAAGACTACTGGATGGAATTATAAGAAATTTTCAGAACAGATGTGTCGTTACATGAATTTTGTATATTCGGGAGATTTTTTGAAAATTCCTATCTGGTGCCAAGTTACGGGACATTTCCTGAAATTAAAATGACATTTTGTCCACGATTAAACTCAAAAACGGTAAGAGATATCAACATGAAACTTTCAGGGATTATAGATCGTGATATATACTATCCAGGACGCGACCTTTTGTTCGTCGTCGCTACTTCCTGTCCTTAGGAGAAACGAATTAAAAAAACTGTATTTTCTAACTTTTTTGTTTTTCATTATTTTTTATTTATTTTTGGAATGCTAATAGAGACTCTTCTATTGATGCTTACTATATAATTTGTTTGATTATTGATAAATCAAAACTCTAGATATTAACATTTAAAAATCTGAAGCGGGACCAAGATAGAGGCTGTCTCTGTCAACTCCGCCATTTCGCGAGTAGAGGTCTATGGAGGCAGCTGAGCGTTTGATTAAACCATTCTGATATAAGGATGCATGAAATGTAAAAAAAAAACTACTTGGACTTTCAGGTAGTAGTATGTTGCAATTCAGTATCAAACTTAAAACTTAATTTCCGTTTCACTGCTTTAGTGTAACTAGGCTAGATACAATATGTTATGTGTACAATGTGTTAAATATACGTTCAGATTAACGAAATGAAATAAAGGCGATAAGAACGTTTTATGTATTTAATTTCATTGAAGCTATCACTGCATGAAAAGTCGCGTTTAATATAATTTAATAAATTCGTTTACTCCAGTAAATTTCTTGTATTGAATTTAATTTATGTATAACGGTACATTTTACATGAGATATATTGTGATATAATTAAGTACAGTTTTCAAATAAGTATAATCATATTTAATGCAAAATACGTCGAGAATAATATAGTTTAATTGAGAAAATTATACGTTTCGTTTTAGAATATCGACATGTAAAAGTAAATATGCTTATACTTAAAGTTTAAGTACATTTTTGGTATTTTGAATATGTCATAAATAATTCTTTATACCTAATGTAAACTTATGTTGAAACATTTTTGAAAAAAAATATTTAGGCACCCTATTTATTTTAGTTTATTCATTTCTCATTTTTATTTATTTAACCCTTATGTAGATTTTTCAAAACTGTGGAAAATAACTTATTTTTTCTCTATTGACTACTACTGTAGTACAATTACATCGGGATCGAAGTCGGGCTCGAAAAGCAATTAATTTAAAAACAACGCGCCGAAATTCAATTGTTTGGAGGGTTCCACGCAGCCATGTTGAACTTGATCATGATGTTGTATGGGAGGAAGGGGCGAAAGAGAGTGACGCGAAAAGGAGAAGCATGATTAACTTGGGATGGAATTTCTGCTTTAACAGAAGATGAAGACATTTACATGTACGACCCTGTTTATTGGTAGGAACAATGTACAAAATTTTATCACGTGTCCTTGAATGAATATTTGCCTCTGCTACTGATAATGTTACTGTTCCTTAGTCTGGGCTCTACACATAAAATGCCTGGCAGTAAAAACGTTTGGGCAAGCGCTATTTAAATTTTGTAATAATTATTTAACACTTTTAATCATCTCTCTTAAAGATAGATTTTAACCAGAATTTTCTCGTTTGGGATTGGTTTCAGAATTTTAGTCACTGAAGTGTTCCTCTGTTCAGCATTTACAGAGTGTGTTGTACAGTGTAATAAAATATTTATTTATTTCTTAATGCATACTCAAGAATATATTCAGCACTCATTTTGATTATTTAAGGTCGTTTAAAGCAATTGCTAATTAAACGCATTTAATTGATTTCCGAAAAATACAGGGGGTAGGTCTTTTGACACTTTCCCCCAATTGCCGCGAGTATAAAAGAGGGGCGCACGTGGCGTTTTCCTCCTCTTGCTCGATAGCTTTCCCAGCGATTCTGCACTTTTGATAATTGTTAACCTCCAAGTGAAAAAGTATGCCACCCATTAGAGCCATAAAGTCACAAGTCACCGCCAAGTCCACCAGGGCAAGCAAGCGGACCAAGGGAGCCAGGCAGCAGCAGGGCAGAGGGGGAAGAAGAAACCTGACCGCTGTCCACAATGCTGACACCAGGGCAGACCCTGAGATCGAGGGATTGGTGACTGGTACAAGTGCCCAGGCCTGGGAGGAAAACATTCAAAGTTCCACGGGAATGGCAGAGGAGCATGTGCCGCTCACTATTAGCAATAAGGGTAGGCAATTAGATTTTTCTACTTCGTGGCCTGTCCCGGAGGAAGCTGCCCTGTCACCGGCAGGTAATTTCGGGGCGATGCCAAACATGGAGGTTTGCGCTGGGGACGATATAGGTGCCCATGTTCCAATCGCTTTTAAACAAAAAAATTGGGCGGGGAACTATATAAACTTAGCCCTGCTTACAAAGGGAAGCGCTGAACTGCAGCAGTTCGCTGCGGGTAGTAATTTTGTTCTGAATGATAAGGGGGAACTTGAGGCTAAGCCCAAAGTTTTGAATGAGAAGATAGCAACCATCGATAGATGGACTGACGCTTTTCTGTTATTCATGCATATATATATTCAAAGGCACCCAGGGAGGGCAGCCGAATTGGTTCAATATATGTTTATCATTCGCGACGCAGCGAGGAAATTTCCGGGCATGGGATGGAGAAATTACGACGAACAGTTTAGAGTGCGTCAAGCAATCTCTTACCGAAATTGGTCAAAATTAAATTCCGTTTTATGGCTACGCTTGATAGCTGTCCCACCCAGGCCAGAACTTAGCCTCGCTGCATCGCATGCACCAAACCAAACTGGTGTCTGCTTCAGTTACAAAAGAGGCCGTTGCATTACAGCCAATTGCAAATATGTGCATTTATGTTGTATTTGTAAAGGAAAGCACCCAAAATCGAGTTGTGCAAAAAATGATACTTTTCGTACCCCAAAGGCCTCAAACAGCACCGCTGCAACCAATAAAGGCCAAAAACTTTAAATTGGCAAATTCCCCTATAAATACGGCAGCTTTAAAAAATTCTCTTACAAATTATCCGAATTTAGAAATAGCAAAAGAACTTATAAATAGTTTTCGATTTGGTTTTCGATTGCATTACCGGGGTCCTCGGGAAAAAACAGAAGCACCTAATTTGCCCTCTTTTTATAAACATGCAGATGTCGCTAGAGACAATATCAAAAAAGAAATTGACAAAGGACAGATGGCTGGCCCATTTAAATCACGACCTATGTCAAATTTGCGAGTTTCGCCACTGGGAGTAGTGCCCAAGAAAACGGAGGGGGAATTCAGGGTAATTCACCACCTCTCTTACCCTACCAATAACTCCGTCAACGACTTTATTGACGAAGAGCTTTGTTCGGTCAATTACACAAAATTTGACGAGGCCATTAGCATGGTTCAGCGTTTAGGGCGTGGATCTTACCTAGCCAAATCAGATATCAAAAGCGCTTTTAGATTAATGCCCATTTGGCCCGGTAATTTTGAGCTTCTGGGTTTCAAATTCGACGGTTGTTATTATTTTGACAAATGCCTCCCCTTTGGGTGTTCTATATCTTGTGCTACATTCGAGAAATTTTCATCGCTTCTAGAGTGGCTGGTACGCAAGCGAGCTACATCTAGAGAAGTTCTACACTATTTAGACGATTTCTTGTTCGGGGGTCATACGGCAGACGAGTGTCAAATGATAGTGGATAATTTCATACAGGTCTGCCAAGAATTAGGGGTCCCAATAGCATGGGAAAAAAGCGAGGGTCCACAGGAATTAAGTCATTACTTTTCTTGGGCTAGAAATTGATACTCAAGAAATGCAGGTCAGATTGCCGGAAGAAAAAGTGAATGAAATCAGCATGATTATTGAAGGCATATTGAAGAAACCGAAAACCAACTTAAAAACCATGCAATCTCTATTAGGTTACCTAAATTTTGCCTGCAGAGCAATTCCTCCCGGTCGCACTTTCTGCAGGCGGCTGTCAAATGCAACGCGTGGTTTGTCTCAACCCTATCATCATTTAAGAGTAACAAAAGAGATAAAAGCGGATTTACTTGTATGGCTGGAATTTTTTGACAAATTTAACGGTTTTGTTTTTATTTCAAGAAAAGTTTTGGGTATCTAACATAGATTTAGAACTTTTTACAGATAGCTCGGCGCGTCGAGGAAACGGTTTGGGAATTTATTTTAGGGGTGCATGGACCTACGGTGTTTGGCCAGAGTTTTGGTTCAATAAGGGTTATACTAAGGATATCACTGTGTTGGAATTTTTTCCCTTGCTTGTTTCAGTATTTTTATGGGGGGAAAAGCTGCGCAACAAAAAAGTTTTATTTAGATCTGATAATCAATCAGTAGTACATATTGTAAATTCGATGACATCAAAATCAGAATTAGTAATGATCATGTTGCGAAAATTCGTTCTAAAATGCTTGCAGTTGAACATTTCATTTAAAGCGCAGCACGTCTCGGGCGTTCAGAACTCATTGACGGACAGTTTGTCACGTTTACAATTTCAGCGATTTCACAAGTTGGCTCCGGACGCAGACAGTCAGCCGACACCATTTCCAGGGGCACTTTGGACTATTTTCGAGACGAAATCACTCGATTGTTAGATGCAAGCATTTCAGCAAACACCAGGGCTGTATACTTGCAAGCTTTAAAGAATTTTAAAGATTTCAGAATATTGACAAAACTACCTGATGAATGGCCAGTCCCTTCAAACCATATTCTGTTATATATAGCATATCATTCAGGCAAGGGCTCAGCAGCATTAACAGTTTCATCTTATATTTCGGGTATTAGCTATGTACATAAGCTGAGACAATGGACCGACCCGGCAGATTTATTCATAGTTAGGAAATGCGTAGAAGGGTTGCGACGATTAAATAAAACGAAAGACCACAGAGCACCTATTTCGGAAGAGCTTCTCGCTAAAATCTGTAGCGCTCTAAATCAAGTGTGTTATTCGGAATATGAAACATTTTTGTTTAGATCAGTTTTTACCTTGGCCTTTTACGGCCTATTTAGGGTAGGTGAATTAGTGTATACCTCGGAGCATTGCGCCCATGTACCCTTAACTATTAAGGATATAAAATTTTGCATGTCAAAGAGCGTTCCTTGCGTCTCTATCTCTGTAAGATTCTCTAAAACTGATCAAACAGGAAAAGGTATCAATATTTTGTTACCATCTATTCACCAAAGAAACATTTGCCCAGTAAATAACTTGAAAAAATTTCTTGCAGTGAGAACACGTGTGGAGGGTTCATTATTCGTGCATAGCAATAAATCCCCGCTAACTAGATATCAGTTTAACGCAGTCCTGAGAAAAACCCTGTCGAAAATTAATCACCCGATTTCTGCTTACAAATCACATTCTTTTAGAATTGGAGGTGCAACGTGTCTTGCATTAAAAGGGGTATCACATTACAAAATCCAATTATTGGGACGCTGGAAATCAAGCGCATTCCTTAAGTATATTAGAATAGATATGATGTGAGCTTTGTAAATGAGTTGTTTTTACCATATTATTTATTGCTTCTTTAGAACACCTTGTATGGATTGTGGGATCTTCAATTGTTTACTGGGCATGTAGATGGGCGGCTACGAATCTGACTACTAACTTACGCTTGGAAAATTTAGGCGTTCAGGTAACCTGGATTGGCAAAAGGGGCATGAAATGGGGGGAGCTCATTGACTCTATCGAGCAAAAGTTAACTAAATGTCCTCCTCCTGCATATTTAATTATCCACCTAGGGGGGCATGATATCACATCAATTAAGAGCGAGGTATTATGTACCAGAATAGAGCACGACATATGTTCAATGGCAAACAGATTACCAAGTTGCAAAATGATATGGTCTGATATACTTCCGCGCAGAAAATGGATAGGGGCTCGTGACATATGTTCCGTCGAACGGAAGCGAAAAAGAGTTAATAGAGCTGCTCGTAGGGCGGTCGCATCAGTAAACGGCAGAGTTATTAATCACCCTGATATGGAGTTTTCGGAGGAGGGGCTTTACCGCGCTGACGGAGTCCATATGTCTGACGTGGGAAATGCAATTATAACAAACACTTTTCAATCAGCCATTGAAGCTTTTATCTCCTCTTAAATTTTATTTGTTGGGTGGCAGAGATGTATAGACATCTCTGAGTGGCGGATATGTCAGACAAGCAGAGACATTTGTCATCATTATATTAATTATTGTTTATGTATGATTATCTATTTTACGTGATTGGTAGAGCATGTTGTGGCTCGCTAAGGCTACCCTAGGAGCCAGTACAAGCTTGCTATGGAGTGCACTAGGAGCTTGTGTGAGGGATCTGTTCGGTATAACAGTAACCTCGTACCCCGTTCGGTATAACGGGTGGTTAATTTTGCCCTACTCGGTATAGTGGGCTTACCTGTTCGGTATAACAGGTAGTAGCCTCGCTAAGGAATCACCTAGGAGGCAATTACATATCCCAGCTGACTCGCTAAGGGGTACCCTAGGAGTCGATTTATAAATATTGTTACGCCTTGCTATGGATTACCCTAGAAGGCGAGGTGCCATAACGCCCGTTATCGATTTAGGTGTGTGGCACCCAATGATTGTTAAATGCTTTTCTGACATTTGTCATTGAAACAATTATTAAAGCTGTGGCCTTTATCATCCAAGAAACATGTTTTGCTATTTTTTCGGAAAATATTCTATTAAATAGTTGCAGTGTTGACTGTGCCTGAGACGATTCCCCACAGCGCCGGCTATGTAGACAGCTTGTGAAAATGGTGAGAACCATGCAGCTCAAATTTTCAATTAATACAAATAAACTAACAATGTTTTTATTAACTTGTATATTTTAGCATAGCGAAGACTATGAAAAATATTGCAACAACTTGAAATGCTATATACCAAGTAAACAAGATGAGGTTTATATTCTTATTTTCCTTATCCTAAAAATACAATAGCAATGGATTCTGAGCTATGCATAATTTTTTTACGTTAAATACTTAAGCATGAATTATTAAAAATAGCTATCATATTCTATGATGCACAATTATGCATGCATTATTTACAGGAATCCAAATGCTCACAAGAAATGACAAAAAGCAGCATGAAGATTAACACAAAGGTAAGATTTCTTAAATTTTCTGATAAGATCAATAAAATCACATGAATTGATTTTTTTTTAGCTCACCTGAGCCATTTTAAGACCCGAGCGAGTTTTTTGATCTGTGTCTGGTATCCGTCTGTCATCTATAAACTTTTCAAATTTTTACATTCATCATAATTATTCCTAGTTTGAACAAAAAACCCTGCAAGATACATCTTTTCTTTCAGAAATTGTGCCAGAAAAGTTTGAAGTAGCTATGAGAATGATCAACATTGAACTTGCTGAGCCTTCCTTCTGAAAGTGACTTGACCAGATATTTGGCTACCTAGTATGAGGTACGAACTAATCATTTGTTGTACAACTTATTGTGTATGAGATTGCCACCATTTACTGGAACTTTGCATTTGCTGTCCACTTTAAAAACCTGCTATCTACAGTGTAAGTTGTTAATATATTTTACTTTATGTTAAATCACTTGCTCATCATCCCAATAACTTGCATGTTAAATGCTGTAGATGCTAACCTTAGCATTTTTGTTTACTCTTAAATTCCATGTGTTCCGAGTATGTTCATCCATTTCATATCATGTTTTGTCTTCTCTAAATTTAATCTAATACATATCATAATATATACTAGATCACAAAGTTTAAGGATTTTATTATTGTATGAATGTTATCTACTTGCTCTAATCATAAATACCGCTGTTTGTATATTTTTTCTACAAGATGCCATACCTGCTTTTAATTTTTCATAATTTTTTTTTATCCATAGTATCTTTCTGCTACATTAAATAAAATATCGTGGAGGAACACGAAGAAAAGGGCTGCGCATCTCAGCATATTCAAGGTCAAGCAGGTAAATACATTGGTAAATTGCTCAAAAAAAAAAAAAGATGGCAAAAAGTCACCAGTCCCCAATTTACATGTACTACCACAAAATCTGTAGCTTGCTGCTGTGAAACTATATTTACATGTGTCTTAATATGTTAAATGCTGTAAATGCTATTCTTTGCATTTTCGTAAACTTTGTAAATCTTCAAATTCCATGTGCTCGGACTACGGTACCATTATGTATGTTTCATATCATATTTTGTCAACTATAGATTTGATGTATACATATAATTATATGGTTTTTTATGCAATTTACTTAAAACGCATTCCAAAATCAAAACAGAAAATCTTTTTTTCTGTTTTAAGCATATTGCCCTTAGGTATTGACAAAACTCAACAAATAACACAGTTAACAAGATATTTATTGGTGCGAATATTAAAAGTTTAAAAAACACAAACCATCGTTTACACAGCTAGATTTTACGGAGTAAATTTCCTCCCAAAACCTATCACTGAAACAGTTTTCACTACCACATTACAATTTGAAAAAGGCAAAAATCTACAGAGTAAATTTCCTCTCAAAAATGACACTATACAGTTAACATACAGTAGTCAATTCAAAAGCGACTGTCCATGATATAAAAAGATTTTACGGAGTAAATTTCCTCCCGAAAATTATCGTTGATACAGTATTCACTACAAACAATTACAAATTGAAAATAGCAAAAATCTAGCAAGTAAATTTCCTCTCTAAATTCACATTGGTGCATTCTACATTCAGTATGTCAATGCCAAATCAACCACCTTTTACATAGCTAGATTTCACGGAGTAAATTTCCTCCCATAGAATTATACTGATACAGTGTTCACTACTTTAATTACAGTTTGTTACTAACAAAAATCCAGAGAGTAAATTTCCTCCCTAATTTCACGTCGGTGGATTGTACATTCAGTATTTCAATGCCAAATCAACCCATCGTTTACATTGCTAGATTTTACGGAGTAAATTTCCTCCCAAAGAATTTCACTGATACAGTTTTCTCTACTAACATTACAAATTAGTACTAACAAAAATCTACAGAGTAAATTTCCTCTCTAATTTCACGTCGGTGGATTGTACATTCAGTATTTCAATGCCAAATCAACCATCGTTTACATTGCTAGATTTTACGGAGTAAATTTCCTTCCAAAGAATCCCAAAGAATTTCACTGATACAGTTTTCTCTACTAACATTACAAATTAGTACTAACAAAAATCTACAGAGTAAATTTCCTCTCTAATTTCACGTCGGTGCATTGTACATTCAGTATTTCAAAGCCAAAGAAACCATCGTTTACATAGCTACATTTTACGGAGTAAATTTCCTCCCAAAGAATATCACTGATACATTGTTCACCACTATATTTCAAAATAGAAAAAAAAAACTCTACAGAGTAAATTTCCCCTCGAAATGCATGTTGGTGCATTGTACATTCAGTATTTCAAAGCTAAATCAACCATCTTTTCACAGCTAGATTTTACGGAGTAAATTTCCTCCCAAAGACCATCACTGATATAGTGTACACAACTACATTTCATCTAGAGAGGAAACTTCCTCTCAAAATGACATATACGGTAAACATACAGTAGTCAATTCAGAAGCGACTATCCTTTATATGACAAGACTTTACGGAGTAAATTTCCCCCCAAAGATTTCACTGATAGAGTGTTCACTACTTACATTACAGTTTGTTATTAACAAAAATCTAGAGAGTAAATTTCCTCTCTAAATTCACGTCGGTGTATTGTACATTCGGTATTTCAATGCCAAATCAACTATCGTTAACATAGCTGGATTTTACGGAGTAAATTTCCTCCCAAAGAATATCACTGATACATTGTTCACTTCTACATTTCAACATAGAAAAAAAATCTACGAGAGTAAATTTCCTCTCAAAATGCGCGTCGGTGCATTGTACATTCAGTATTTCAAAGCCAAATCAACCATCGTTTACACAGCTAGATTTTACGGAGTAAATTTCCTCCCAAAAATATCACTGATATAGTGTACACAACTACATTACAATTTGAAAATAGCAAAAATCTGGAGAGGAAATTTCCTCTCAAAATGACATTCATACAGTAAAAATACAGTAGTCAATTCAGAAGCGACTATCCTTTAGATAACAAGGCTTTACGCAGCATTGTTAAGGCTTGAATAAGGGGGCGGGGCCTAATTTATACGGGAAAAGTATACTATGACGTCACACAAAAATATGACATTTATGTAGTTCTCATAATACGCGTAAATGAAATAAATTGCAATGCTGAACAGTATTAGCATAATAAACAACATTATAACTGATCAATGCATTAAAAAAAGTTGCTAGTTAAATCCCTTGTAGCTGGTCAAAAACTAAGCACTCGTCGCGATAAACTTGTTAACATGACGTCATACTGGTAAAAGTGACGTACTTCATGTGCTGTGAGAGGCAAATTGAGAAATTGTTAATCAACGAAAAATGTGTTTTATAATTAAACAGAGTATTATTTACAGATTTTAAATAGTCGATTAATACCAAGGTATAGCTTTTGTTTAGTGCGGTTGTTAATTAACTATAAAGAGAATGTATTCTATTAATTATGTCGTGTTTTATGTACAGGTTACGTATATTTTACATCGAGATGCCTCATAAAATCGTACTTTCGCAAGGGCATACACTGCATAGATCTGAATCATTTTTTAAATATAGATAAAGGATAAATTCCTTAACTTGAAAAGTGCTGCTGCTTTCTTTAAATCGAGGCCACACACATTTATAAATACACAAAATATTTTTTTTGAGTAAAATTCTAACATATTTCGACATTGGCCTATTTACTTAAACATTTAAGTATTAAAACGCGAATTCTATTCAAAGCAGCAGCACTTTTCAGAAACTACAAAGTACACAGAAACAATTAATAGCTTGAATTTTTAATTTCAATTAGGGTATGCCCTATATACGATATTGAAATTTGTTAATTGACCTATATTCCCTGTACCTGCTATGCGTTCATCACGTGATGTCCATCGATGGGACAAAACTTTACACAACATTTTATGTTATAAAATGCTTTTCCATAAGTATTTAAGTTCTGTGTAATAGAAATGCTTTTAAAAATAAATTCAATTTTAAAACTTTCCCGTTTTTTTGCACTTTTATTTTCCTTTTGATTTCTCATAAAGCCTTAACATTTTTGCGTACGGAGTAAATTTTCAAAAGAATTTCACTGATTAGTGTTCACTATTACATTACAGTTTGTTATTAACAAAAATCTAGAGAGTAAATTTCCTTTCTAAATTCACGTCGGTGCATTGTACATTCAGTATTTCAATGCCAAATCAACCATTTTTTACGCAGCTAGATTTTACGGAGTAAATTTCCTCCCAAAGACTATCACTGATATAATGTTCACTACCACATTACAATTTGAAAAAAGGCAAAAATCTACAGGGCAAATTTCCTCTCAAAAATGACACTGATACAGTTAACATACAGTAGTCAATTCAAAAGCGACTATCCTTGATATAACAATATTTTACGGAGTAAATTTCCTCCCAAAGATATCACTGATAAATTTAGTTTTCACCACAACAATTACAATTTGAAAATAGCAAAAATTTACAGAGTAAATTTCCTCTCTAAACTCACATTGGTGCATTGTACATTCAGTATTTCAAAGCCAAAGCAATCATCTTTAACATACTAGATTTTACATTCATTATTCGCCGACAGAAAATAAACATCTCAAAATAAATTGATAACTTTTTACAGGAAAAAAATATACATTTTACATCTTATTTAATAAATGACTTTCGAGGGACATTTTTATCTCAATATAGTAATGATGAAATACATTATTATTTAATCTATAAATAAACAACGAAGAATCTATACAAATAAAGGCAGTTTTTTTGACTGATTTCAAGGCGTATTCAACGAGGGGAGGTGGTTCAATGCGCATACAGTAGCATGGTGACGTCACAAACAATATCTCAAGGTACGTTGAAAACTGTATTGTCCAGTCTATATCCGCGAAGAAAAAAGTTGAAGGAGGCAAGTCCCTCTCTTGATTATTGTCGAACAGTTTGATTTCAAACACATCTATCACATTTACTTTCTTTGACCGAAGCTCCACTTCTATGCTTTCCTTAAGGCTGATGTCATTGAACACTTGCTGAATGCATTTCAAACATGTCCAAAGGAAATTTGGCCGCCATATTTTTAACAAATCCATTGTTGACCTATTGATAAAATTTTAAAACTCGTAAATCATCTCATAAAATTATTTTTAAACTTTCAATTTTTCAAATCCCATGGGCATTTATTTTTTCAGGCACGCCAGAATACATGTTGCGCACCACAGTCGAGCAGTATTGCTTGTACAATTTTTGTAAAATCAAAAAATAATTTTTCCGTTGGTTTTTCGTATGGAAAATTCAATCATCTAAAGAACACGTATATATACCCCCAGTCTACACACACATTTAGACAAACTAAGACAAGATAAATTTTTTTTGAGGATGATGTAAATTTTCTCATATAAATCCAGATCATATACGTTTGCATGAAACACGATTTTGAATGCAGATTAGTTCAGACAGGACATTTGCTACTAAAACACTAATTACTAACGCCAAAAGGGGAGTTCAGAGAGTTAAATGATAATATGTACATGCATTGGTAGTTTTACTGCAAATAATTGATCGCTAAAGTGTTTAGTATTTCACACAATAAAGAAAACAACCACCTTGACCAAGGATCGAAATCCTCATGGAACTAGTACTGTAGTTAAGGATAGAATTCATATGCCAGACACTACCTCAATTACATTTATCGTAACATATATACATATATAATTATAAATTTACCTTTATTATTCAATGTTTGGTCTTGCATATGGTTTCCTTATTTCTCCATTCATCAGAAAACAGTCACTTTTATATATCCAGTCGTCACTTAAACCACTCCTGAAATAATTTTATTCACCTATTGAAGGGC